ATCCTCCCCTCCCGTCTGTATAAATATGACTACCTTAAGGCCTATTTTTCTTTTCTTTTTTTTTAAATATATTTTATTGATTTTTTACAGAAAGGAAGGGAGAGAGATAGAGAGTTAGAAACATCGATGAGAGAGAAACATCGACCAGCTGCCTCCTGCACATCTCCCACTGGGGATGTGCCCGCAACCCAGGTACATGCCCTTGACTGGAATCGAACCTGGGACCTTTCAGTCCGCAGGCCGACGCTCTATCCACTGAGCCAAACCGGTTTTGGCAAGGCCTATTTTTCAATAATTTTTTTATGACTTAATTTGATTGCAAGTGACAGAAATCCAGTTCCAATTCGCTTAAACTTAACAAATCAGTGGTGACAGTTGGGGTGTACGTGCTGGTTTGGCTCCAGGGAAGGTGGTTAAACTGGGAAGCATTAGGTCATTGGGACCCCCCCCCCCAACACTCCCTCCCTTCCTCCTTATCTCCCTCCCCCCTCCATCCCTTCCCCCCTTTCTGTCAGGCTCTCCCCTCATGGTGCCAAGATGGTTGCCATCTGCTGCAGGCTTTCATTCCAATCACAGCCTTCTCAGGGGAGAAATTTCCTCTTTCTAACCGTTTCCGAAGTCCCAGAGTGAAGTCTCCTTGGTACTGACGGGTCATTGGTCCTGATGTCCTCCCTCAGCTATCACTGAGGCTGGGAGTATCCACAACCAACCGGCCGGGCCTGGGTCACAGACTGCTCCTGGGACCAGGGTGAGGCCCAGGAAATCAGGGCTGTTCGGTGAGACAGGCAGGAAAGGTTCTGGTCTGTGGGTCCCCAAACCCAATGTTTGTGGAGAATTGTCACTGGAGTCGCTCTGATCCTCTGTGGAGCGGTGGAAGAACTGGGTCCGCTCTATCTCGTCAGGGAGAAGGCTGGCTTTGTGTTGAGCTTTTAACACATCTCGGATGAATAGGCTTGTTTGTGGTTGGATGTCAGCCAGTCATACATCATCGTCCCTGGCAACACAGCCTGTTTACGGAGGGAGATGCTGACCTCACATCAAGTCTCTTGGGTTCAATCCCTTTGATGGTAACACACTTAACCAGGCTGGTGGTCCCTGAATCAGCCACCAGAATCCCCTGAGGAGCCTGGTTCACTCTTTGGTAAAACCCAGATCTGCTTACAAATCCATGTTGTGTTCTGCCACATAGAAATAAAAAAAAAAGGCAAACAAAAACCCCACTAGTATTCTTTTCTTTTTAAAAATGTTTTTATTGATTTCAGAGAGAGGAAGGGAGAGGGAGGGAGAGAGAGAAACATCAGTGATGAGAGAGAATCACTGATCGGCTACCTCCTGCATGCCCCCTGTTGGGGATTGAGCCTGCAACTGGGAATCAAAGCTGTGACCTCCTGGTTCATAGGTCAGTGCTCAACCACTGAGCCACACTGGCTGGGCACCTCACTAGTATTCTATTCTCCTACCCCTACCTCCATTTTTTCTCCCTTAGAGGCAATTCAATAGATCAGTTTAACACATTTTAGCTGATTATGTATGTAGTTATTCACTTCTGTGATTATAAATAGTAGACTTCGTGTGGCTATTTCTTGAGTTTTCAGTTTTACTTATTATCTATCAACATCCCACTATGGAAGGTGAGATTTGAGACTCTTTCCGCCCTCTGTCCCCACCACACACCCACTTTTCCCATCCCCTTTCCTCCCAGCAGAGTTACTGTGTAGTCAGTATCTGATGCTGACATTATTGCAGCCATGTAAGTGCTGTTGACAATGGAGCCATCTAGTAAAGTAGGATTACTTTTACTTCTTGTGGTAGAACGCACCCCTCAGTCATTTCTCACAGAGGGTGCATGGAAGGTGAGTTGAGACGGGCTGTAAAAACCCACTGTCTCCCATTGTGCATGGCATCAAGGTCAGATGCCTAATGTGGCTCACAGGCCCTTCCTGGCTCCAGCCTCCTCAGACCTCCCACCTGCCATCCTTTGCTCGTCCTAGTCCCTCAGTCACTACCTGGTGAAAGGCCCTTCTTCAAGGCCTGACTTAGATGACGCTTTCTTTGGGTGGCCTTCCCAGTAGGGGCTCTGTTGCACAGTGTGTATACTGAGGTCTCAGTACTTGTCTCACCCGATTGTACCTACCTGATCAGGTTGTTAGCGATCACACAGATGGGTGGAACTGAGCCTTTACGATAGTGTCTGCCACTCAGTAGATGGTCCATCTGTGCCGTGCAGCCCTCTGTCTTAGGAGGACAGGGTTGGTGGGTTATATGCATTAGTGACCAGAATAGCTCTTGGCAAATCAGAAGCCTCCGGGAGTTGGCAGGGAGCCTGAGTGAGTGAAGCAGGCCGGTGTGATTCGGGCACAGGGGGTGGGGACGGAAAGGGCAGTCTCTCTCCCAGGGGCGTCTTCGACTCCACTTCGAGCCAGTGGTTGCCAGGTGGGAATGGGGGCCCGTTGTTGACAGATTATCTGACTGCGGGCCTGGCCAGCTAGGGGAGAGGTAGAAAAAATCCTGGTGATGACACAGGGCTGGGGGAGGGGACCAAGGCCGATGTCAGAAGTGTCTGGCACAACATGACAGGGGGATGGAGTAAGAAGTGATCGGAGTCTCCTTTACCCCCAGGAGCCATCCCATTGGCCCCCCAAGCCCCTACCATCTACTGTTTAGAAATAGCTTTCAGGTAGTTACTTGCAAAGCAGGTGCTTTGCTGCCAATGGAACCTCGTGTGTTTTACCAGCACGGGGCTGTTGGTCTTGGGGCAGCCCCATGGCTGGTGATCATGTGTTGTTCCTTCTTCTCTGAGTATCCATTTCCCCTTTCTCAAAGGCATGTGTGTGCATGCGTACACACACTCACACACCCACACCCTCACATGCCCACCCACATACACACACACACACACACACACACACACACACCCTCCCCACCCCCACACCCAAGGCGTGGCTGCATCAGGCAAATGCCAAAGGGAAAAGGAGGAGAGGGCATGTGGGGTCTGTGAGATATTGACCTGACCTCCAGTATGTCCTAGACATGGGACTAAATTTCTTTTTTTTTTTTAATTTGCCCTCCTGTGATGTCCACAGGTCTGGTTCCTCAACTTTTACCCTGTGGTTAAGCCTGGTGTGGCCCACTTGCCTGTTCCTTCCAAACTCTTACCGAGGCCCAGCTTTTATTTGTATTTTTTAAATCTTTGTTGTTGAGAGTATTACAGATGTCATTGTAATCCTCTCAACATTGCCCCCCTCCACCTGGTTCCCGCCCCGCCCACCCCAGGCCTTCGCCACCCTGATAGTAGCTGCCTCCAGGATGGGTGGCCGCCCTATCTCTTGCCATTCTCCACATTCCAGACTTTCCGCTTCCTTCCCTTTCTTGAAAACACCGTGTTCTCCCTCTCGCTCTGCTGCCTGCTTGGGACTCTATTTCCTCTCCCCTCCCCAGGGCCCATTCATGCTTTAGGTGTCTGTGCAGATATCCCCCCTCCGGGAGGGTTCTGCCTTACCTGGCCTAGTGAGGGTCTCCACTGCTGGGTTCCATGGCACCTGTACCCCCCCGTCCTGGCACCGACTTCTGGACTGGGCTGTAAGTGCCTGACTTTACCCACCAGATTGGAAGTGCCCTGGAGGCAGGGGCCAAGCCCAAGGCCCAGCACAGGGTCTGGCATGTGGGCAGTTTGCTCTCAGTGTTTCATCTTTTTTTTTTTTTTAAATATATTTTTATTGATTTCAGAAAGGAAGGGAGAGGGAGAGAGAGATAGAAACATCAATGATGAGAGACAATCACTGATCGGCTGCCTCCTGCAAGTCCCACACTGGGGATCGAGCCTGCAACCTGGGCATGTGCCCTGTGACCTAGTTCATAGGTTGATGCTCAACCACTGAGCGACGCCGGCGGGGCTCGGTGTTTCATCTTGACCACGTCATATGATTGAGGACTCCATGGTAGGAAATGGTGCCATCATTATGGCTAAGCTGCTGGGGCGGCCGACTGGACATCTTCCCTTGAGGATCTAGACAGAGCCTTTTAATCTAGCCTGTGCTGTCTGATATAGTAGTCACTAGCCACATTGATTTTTAAAATTTAAATATAGCCCTGGCCGGTGTGGCTCACTCAGTTGGCTGGACATCGTCCTGTGCACCAGGAGGTCACTGGTTAGATTCTTGGTCAGGGCACATGCCCAGGTTATGGGTTCAATTGATCAATGTTTCTCACATTGATGTTTCTCTCTCTCTCTCTCTTTCCCCCTCTCCTTCCCCCCCTCTAAAAAATTAAATATATTTAATTAAGATTAAATGTATTTCCTCAATCTCACCAGCCAATTTTTTAAAATATAAACATTTTTTCTTCTTAAATTTATTAAATTTATTTTTTGATTACTTAGACATCGATTTGTTGTTCTACTTATTTATGCATTCATTGATTGATTATTGTCTGTGCCCTGACGGGGATCGAGCCCACAACCTTGGTGTATCAGGATGACGCTCTAAACCAGTGATGGTGAACCTATGACACGCATGTCAGAGGTGACACGCGAACTCATTTTTTTGGTTGATTTTTCTTTGTTAAATGGCATTGAAATATATAAAATAAATATCAAAAATATGTCTTTGTTTTGCTATGGTTGCAAATATCAAAAAATTTCTATATGTGACACGGCACCAGTGTTAAGTTAGGGTTTTTCAAAATGCTGACACGCCGGGCTCAAAAGGTTCGCCATCACTGATCTAAACCAACTGAGCTACCCAGCCAGGGCTCACCAGCCAATTTCAAGTGCTCAGTATTCACATGTGGCTAGTGGCTGCCGCGCGGGACAGTGCCGATGCTAGAACCCCTCCAGCAACACAGTTCTTTGGCTGGTGCTGCTGTAGACACTGTCCTGTGAGGGTAGTGGGTGCTTGTAGGTTGTGTGAGGTCCGTCCTTGGTGTTTGTGGTGAGGTCAGGCAGATTTTTTCAGATTCCTTCTTAAGCCTGAACTGTGCTTCCTCGTATCCCCCGGCTGCAGGATGCTCGGCAGAAGTTCCGCTCTGTTCTGGTTGAAGCGACGGTGAAACTGGACGAGCTGTTGAAGAAGATCGGCAAAGCCGTGGAAGACTCGAAGCCCTACTGGGAGGCGCGGAGGGTGGCGAGGCAGGTAAGATAGCCCCGCATGTCCTCTCCCGGCCTCTGCCCACCATCCCAGCTGGCGTTGGAGTGTGCCTTCTGACTTCTGTGTCTCCCCTGAAAGTTAGAAGCGTGAGTCCTGTGTGATGGGGAACAGCCATGACTTTGTCATCAGCTGCATTTGGAGTCAGTCTCTTATCACCCGCCCCCCCCCATACCCTCCCCAGTCTGCCTTCATCCAGCTCTTGGTACTCTTCATAGAGGGTGGGTGCTGACACTTGGATGGCCCTATGAGTGGGCGCCGCTTTGCCCCCAGAGTTGGCTCCCAGGTCCCCTTGCCAGGCAGCGGGGCCAGCTCAGGCGGAGGAGAGGATGTGTCCAGAACATCAGGCTCCTGCTCTGCCCTCTCCTAATGACCGCCTGTCCGTCTCCTCCTGGTGTGGGAGCAATTAGCCGTTCGCCTCCCTTGAAATACCGGTTCTTTGTCCTGAGAGCCCAAACAGGCAGCTGAGGCACCAAGACGAGAAAAGGGGCAGCAGAGGGGAGCTGCGGTCAGGCGATTGCTGGGGCCACAGGGACGTTGGTTCTGCTTTCAGAGTGTGTCTCCCTTGGATGGCTGCCGCTGAGATGCGGGGTGTCCCTGTGCCACCGCTCGGCCCCCGATGGCCAGGCATGTGGCCGGGGAAGGAGAAGAGCCCTGACACTGGCCCCTGCCCGCTGCTCCTTCCTCTCAGCCCTTGTCTTGGTTGGTGAGCATAAGTGATCCTGACAGTCACTGAGTCCTGTGGACAAGGCGCTGAGTCATCAGGTCTGATCACATAATAGCCGGCCCCCGGGGGCCTGTGACTGACGCACTGTCCACTGGCAGAGCTCAAGATGAATGCTGAGGGCCTCCTGCCCAGCCTGGTGCCTGCACGCCCGCCCCTTCAAGTCCTGCCTCTTTGCAGGTGGGGCAGGAAGAAGGGCGGAGAGGTCTCAGAGTGACCCCTACCCCTCAGCCCCAAGGGACCTTGTTGGTCTGTAGCCGAGGAACTGGAAGGATGCTCAGAGGCCCAGGCTGGGTGCGGATGTCACATCTCATCGCCGTGGATGGGGGCTGTCTGGGCTTGGGCCAGGTGGCCGTCTGTCTGTGCACCAGCGTGACCTTCCTGATGGTGAAGGGGTGGGGCTCACCGCCAGCGCCTGCCAAGTGGGGCTTCCTGTTTTCTTCCTCTGGTCTTGCTCCGCCCCCTTCCTTTCTATATGGACAGACCCCGCAGAGCAGGGGTGGTCTCTCAGAGGCCTTCAGAGCATCTCCTTCCCTGTCTCGCGCGGCACTGCGTTCCCAGAGCCTCCGCACCCTCGTCCATGGGACTCTATGGTCACGGACCAGCCTTGGCTCTCATGAGGTCGTCCTAGGACTTCATGGGAGAGTGTTTGGCCATGGAATCCCTGCATGAGCTTAGGTTTTGGCTTCATTTAAAAAAATGTGGTAGGAAATATCGAAAATAAACAAAAAAGAAAATAAGCCCCCATACCTTCTGTGAACAGTTGATGTATAGCTCTTGTTTTTTGTGTTGTTTTTTTTTAAATAAAGATTATACTGCAGGGGTGTTTTTTAAAAAAATATATTTTATTGATTTTTTACAGAGAGGAAGGGAGAGAGATAGAGTTAGAAACATGGATGAGAGAGAAACATCGATCAGCTGCCTCCTGCACGCCCCCTACTGGGGATGTGCCTGCAACCAAGGTACATGCCCTTGACTAAAATCGAACCTGGGACCCCTCAGTCGCTCTATCCACTGAGCCAAACCGGTTAGGGCGGGGTGGTTTCAATATATGTCTGGGATGACCATGTCCATCCAGCCAGAGGCTCAGTGGAACGGTGGAGACTTAACAAAGGGAGAAACTTCTCCTGCAGCTTGGCTTTCCGTAAAGAGTTTACAAAGATTTGTAATTGTCCGGCCTGTAGAAATTCTCTCTGCCCATCAAAATGTGCACTGACTTTATTATTCCTGGTGTCAACTTATTTTCCTACTAAGTGAGTCAGGCCCAACCCTGTGGTTTTGAGAAAACCCAGTGTACATCCTGCCAGGAGGATGGAGAAGATGTCTGCTCTTTCTTTTCTGGGCTGAGCTGGGGGCAGGGAGCTGGCTTTGATTTATCTGAGGGTTTTTTCCTCGAGCCGGAGCTTGTTTTTAAGGTGGCTTTGCCGTATCTGCCGGCCCATCTGGCCTTCAGTGTGTGGCCGGGGACATTGTGACGAGGGGGTGGAGCCGTGGGACTCGGGAAACCCGAACAGCGGAGTGTTTCTTGCTTATTTTGCCCCCTGGGTTCTGTCTGGTCGAACAGTGGCCCTGGGCTTGCATTTTATCCCTGCCAGTCCCAACCCTTGTAACTGTTTTCCTCTACAAAAGATTGTGGTAAACTGTATGTAAGATTTACTTTTTTTTCAGCGTACAGTGCAGTAGCACGAAGGACATGCATATGGCTGTGTAACCCTCACCGCCGTCCATCTCCAGAACTTTTTCATTTTCCCAAAATGAAACGCGGTACTCATGACATAGTGACTTACCATTTCTCCTTTCCCTCAGCCCTTGGCACCCACCATTCTGCTTTCCGGCTCTATGAGCCTGACGACTCCAGGCACCCATGCACGTGGGATCCTGCACTATTTGTCTTTCCGTGACTGGCTCATCTCACTGAGCGTCATGTCCTCAAGGTTTCCCCGTATCGTAGCACATGTTAGGTTTTCATTTCTTTTTCAGGCTGAATAGTATTCCACTGTATATGTGGGCCACGTTTTGTTTACTCACTCATCTTTAAACGTTTTATTTATTGATTTTAGAGAGAGAGGAAGGGGCTGGGGGAGAGAGAGGGATTGATTGTTGTTCCACTTATTCGTTAGTTCATTGGTTATTTCTTGTATGTGCCCTGACTGGGGATCGAACCTGCAACCTTGGCATATTGGAACGATGCTCTGACGAACTGAGCTACTCAGCCAGGGCCTTCCTCACTCATCTTTAAATGGACATTGGGGCAGCTCTTGTTATTTTTAACTGGTTGGAGCTGGGAGAAGTGCGTTGCCAATCTGGAGAGCAGCAGAGGGTTATTCGGTGCTGAAAGTTGCCTGTTTGGGGTTTACGGGCCATGCACATTCGTGTCCCATCCTGACTTCCTTTGGGGAAGTGAGTGGGGAAACATTGAAACTTGTAGAATGACTTACCTGTGGGACAATCAGCAAAACTTAGCCCCTGGAGCCAGACTGCCTGCCTGCCTGTGAATTCTAATTCACCACTTAATAGCGGTGGGACCTCAGCAGGTTGCTTAATCTCTGTGCCTCAGTTTCTTCATCTGTAAAGTGGAGTTGTGTGTCAGTTCTAGCTTTTGCTATGGAACAAACCACTTCACACTTAGGGGCTTACAGCTCATGATTTTTCTGGGCTGTTTTCCTGATCTCACGCGTGACTGGCTGATCTCATGCATCTACAGTCACTTGGTGTGTTGGCTGGAGGCTGGCTGATCTTGGATGGTTTTATCCATCAAGCAGTTGGCTGGTTGTGAGCTGAGGCGTCAGGGGTGACAGGACCACATGTGTCTCATCTCACAGGCCAGGGGGCCTTCTTCCTGCGGGGATTCCAGGCCGCTGCATGCATCCCATTTGTCCCTTTGGGAGGAGTAAGGCACACGGCCAGTCCAAAGTCAAGAGGTGGGAAACAGCCCAGCTGGCGTGGCTCAGTGGTTGAGTGTCGACCTATGAACCAAGAAGCCATGGTTTAATTCCTGGTCTGGGCACATGCCCGGGTTGTGGGCTTGATCCCCAGTGTGGGGTGTGCAGGAGGCAGCCAATCAGTGATTCTCTCTTATCATTGATGCTTCTATCTCTCTCTCTCCCTCTCCCTTCCTCTCTGAAATCAATTAAAAAAATAAAATTAAAAAAGGTGGGAAACCATAAGCTCTGCCTGCAAAGTATTATAGCCATTTTTACAACTTACCGTTGTATTAAATTAATACATGTGAAACATTGGGATCAAAGGAAAAGAAGGTAAGTTATTATTATTTCAGAAGTATTTTCTGTCAGGTATTATGTCTCCCTGGTGGATCTGCTGCCTTAAAAACAAACAAACCACACAGTAAAAACCCCTGGGGAGAAGAAACAAACCTGTGCGGCTGGGAGAGGATAGGGAAGATAGAGAGACTGGGGACAGACGGTGGTCCCAGGCAGGCTGCGTCCATATGGAGTTAGTCCTCGTGAGGATAAAACGTGCCAGAGGGTCAAAAACTGATGCTGAGGAAATAGCTGACTTACTTCTTGACGGGTCTAAAGCGCTCTAAGCCCAAACAGATAATGTGGCGAGGCCCCCAAATGGATGCGGAGTCGTGCTTCCCGTGATATGGGTTAGGTCACGTGCATCAAGTAGTCCCCCGAATTCCTATGTTAGCCACAGAGGAACGGAGTGTTGCATCTTCCTATGCTGGGAAATTCTAGACATTGGTTGTGTTTGCAGAAGACCCCTCCGTAAGTGGGGAATGAGAGGCCCAGGTTCTTTATAATAAAGCTTTAGCCAAGAAGGGTTGAACATTTTCCTGACCCTGGGTGACATGTTCATAAATTTCTTTGGCTTTCAGCCTCACACAGACTTGCCTACCATGCATTTTTAATTGGTCATGACCTCTCCAGTGTTGATGTCAAATGGAGTCCACAGATTTAGCCATGTTTCCAAGGTTTCAGCATGTGCTATAGACTTCATTTTTACACGAACTGGGGTGGCCTCCAGTGAGGATCTGCAAATTTCCTCTCCCCTTTCCTGGATGTACCCTATTGTTGCCTCATGAACATCGAATTCATGGCCAGCAGCACCGTGACTCATGCCTGAATGAAGTTTATCTAAAGGAGTGTTTTCTCTGTAAGGGGCATCACAGCCTTCTTGGGCTGAGGAACACTGGACAGCACTTCAGCACTAGGCTTGGGGGCTACTTTAAATATCTGATCACCAACAAAAATGGGGAAAACATGGCCCTACCTAGCCTGTGAGATGGACAGTTTTTGCT